TGAAAAGAAATAGTCTTTCTCAGATGGCAATTAATCCTGATTTTCCAAAATGCTACACCCAAACGAATTACAGACTAATTGATAGGATTTTCAAGGAAATATGAACAGTTAATTTCAATTAAGGAGGGGTCCTGTTTCCTTATTTTCCTCAATAAGTTAGAAGTAAGAATGTCGTAAAGCATTTATTAATTCAAATTTATTAATTTCAAAATATGACAACTTCCGCAGGCAGACTACATTAGGGCGAGGAAAAAGAAGATAGACAGACCCCTGGGTCGAAGTTTCTGGGATAAACAAAATAAAAATCTACGAAATGAGAGGCTTTCATTGCAAAGTTTGGGCATACTTCTACGGCTTCAAAAAATAGTGGCAGGAGATCTTAGGACTATACGATGGCGAGGAGAAAGAAGATAGAAAGACCCCTGGGTCTAAGTTTCTAGGATAAACCAAATGAAGTTCTGCGAAATGAGAGGCTTTCTTTGCAAAGTTTGGGCATACTCCTACGGATTGAAGAAAATAGTGGTAGAAGATCTTCAATATGACTTCTGGATATAGTAGAAGGCTTTCTACTGGTCCTCCAAGGACAGAAGCCCTTCTACAGATATATGGATATCGTAAATGGTAATGCACCTTCTAGGTGTCGTTAAGATATGGAGATAATCTACTGATTTTGATTTTTAATGATACGAGAGAAGACTCACAGATCTATGCAGAGAAGACCGACAGAACTTTTTTGCTTCAAAGACCTGACAACTTCATAGGGGTTGGGAGGCCTTTATTCAGGCTCCAATGATACTTTACTGGTCTAGATTTTTAATGATACGAGAGAAGACCCACAGATCTATGCAGAGAAGACCGACAGAACTTTTGAGACCTGTATAAATTCTATGGGTTTGGGAGGGCTTTATTCGGGCTCCAATGATAAAAATTCATCTACAGACCTCAACGTATGTCTGTGGAAAAGATAGGTTTTAAAGATTATTATTACGGATTTTGATCTTTCAAAAGTTAGAAGCTTTTTTTCGGCACATAAGTTTGAAGGGAAGGAATTTACAGCTATTTTATATAAATTCTAGGGTTAAAAAAGCCATCTACTTGGGCTTTAAGGACGCAAAAGCCCTTTTACAGATCATCTCTGTATATATGATGGCAATAGACTTCCTATTGGTCTTCTATGGAGAAGAGCTTTTACAGAGCCCTTTTATGGTTAGAAGACCTATATAAATAGAGACCTCCCATGGATAGGGGCGATACGACACCTTCTCATATGTCTTCTTTGGACGAAAGAGCTTTCACAGACCCCTTTTTATGGTTAGAAGACCTACATAAATTCAATGAGTTGAAGATCTTCTATTGGTGGCTCCATGGAAAAAAGTTCTTCTTCAGACCTTCCATGGATAGGAGTCATACGAGACCATATCAAATGATAGGAGTGATACGAGACCATATCAAAGTCTCCATGTTCCCATATACATCCTATTTCCTTTAGGGGGGCTCTTAAAGTACTTGATTGGCAACAATGGACACCCGAAGTCTTTGCACTCCGTTTTTAATTTATATCTGCAAGGTAAGTAGACTTTAAATAACAATTTCAAAATCATCCAGATTCAAATAGCAATAAATCTATATAAAACGTGAAATATAGGACATTTGATTTTCAAAAATTTTAAACTAATAATAAATTTAGTGCTCACCACCAAAGTATCGCACCATAAAGATAAGAAATGCAAAGTGATATAACAACACACATCCTGATAAGAGCAAATGATAATTTTTAATATTGAAAATACAAAATTCATAAAATTTATATCAAATACCACTGAAATGATTTTGGAACTTATGGCTTAAATGCAGCCAATTGCGATTATTGTAATCGAATTATGATGGCCTTATCAAGAGTAGGTTAATATGGACACAAAGTTCGATGTTTTAAATATATGACTGGGGAATAGAAAAAAACATTATGGGGGGAATTGATATTTTATAGCGACATAGAATGCGAATATATTGGAAGTTGCCCAAGAATTTACAGGAAAAAATATTTTCCTTGATGTATTTTTCATCTTCAAGGATGGATTTTTTTATTCAGGTTCATAATTCGGTCTTGGTATATTTAAACTCCCAAATAATTAGTTTTTTTTCAGATTTTTTTTAATACATTGTTTTTTTTTAAATTTTATATTGGATTTTTATTAAAAAAATGTTTGCTCAGCATTATCCTCAAACCAACTCCCCTTGAATAATAATGAGCAGCAAAATATATGTAGATGTTTCTGTTTTTAATCCTGGCCATGTCCTGCGCATGTTTGTTAACACAGTTTATATTTCTCCTTTAAACCCATTTCTGCCAACTTCCTCCTGCAGACCAATAATTCCTTCTCTCCCATTTTCTGCCACAGAGAAGCTGCAAAACTAATGCAGACATCAGCAAAAATCCAGGGTAAACATTTTCTTCTTTTTTTTTTGACAAGATGTGTTGGTATACCACTACCTTCAATCAAATTTTTGTGTGTATTATAATATCAAAAAACAGAACAGGGAGATGTGCTCAACCACCAGAAGAAGTTGAAGAAAAAGGCTACAACATAATCACAAAAGACAAAAGGAAGAATATGTCCACCCACGCACACAAATTAGAAGAGAATTTGAAAATCTGTGAAAAGAATACACAAAACTTCGTTCTTCTTTTTGCACTCATTTCTTTGTTCTTTGCTATCAAAGTAGAAAATATTTAAGGAAAATTCCCAAAGGCGACAGCAATGAGGCTTTAATGTTTGCCTACTTGGTTGGCCAATGATGACACATGTGATGCTTTTTTTGTGCTGCTTTAAGAGGTGTTCTATCTATGCCTGTGTACGAGAAGCACGATGGGGGTGTGGGGGATGGATAGTGATTGCTTTTTCTTAGAGGATTTTAACCTTTCCAAAAATAAAGCAGCCACGACGCATAGCTACAAAAATATAGCATTTTATGGTGAGACTATTTGGTGTTTGTTTTTTTTTTTTCGATTCTATTTGCGTTTTGCCAAAAAAAAAAAATATGCAGCAGCAGCCAGCAATGGAAAAATTATACACCACACTATTAAATACTGGCTGCTGCCTCCTCTTCATGTGCCTCCTCACTATTGCAGCAGCAGTAGGAGCATGAAATGACACTTTCTCGCCGTTATCGGTGCTTAAAAATAATGCAACATTTGCACAAAAAAATACAATTTAAAATAAAAAAACATTTTGTATTTTTAGTTGTTCAAATTTTTATGAATAAAATTCTATAAAAAGATGCTGAGTGAGAGAAATTATTTTTCTTCCAAAAAAAATAGACCAATATGAAAAGTAAAAAACATAAACCAAATTTATCAAGACGGCATAACTGAAGAGGTTTATAGGGAAAAAATTGGCGTGTCTCACGCCTAGAGACAAAGGAAATTCGTATAGAATATAAGTTCAATACTCCTATCTGGAGTTCCCGGTCGTGGTAATATTATGGGCAATGACAAAGCTGAAGAGAAAATAGACGGTGACATTCTCAGATTATTATGCTATCAATGGTGGATTTTTCAAAAAGCTTTACCCAAACCGATTACAGACTAGTTGTTAGGATTCCCAAGGAAATATGGCCAGTTATTTAGGCCCTGTTTCCTTCTTCCCTCAACGGGTTAGAAGTAAGAATGTCGTAAAGCACCATTGCTGGTCCCTGACTGCAGGGTCAAGTTTATTATTTGAAAAATGTCACAACAACCGCACACTACCATTGGTCTTCCAAAGACAGAACCCTTCTATAGACATAAGGATATAGTAAATGGTAATAGACCTTCTAGATGTCGTTTAGGTATGGAAGATAATCTACTGGTTTTGATTTTTAATGATAAGAGAGAAGACCCAGCAGATCAAGGCAGAGAAGACCCACAGATCTTTTATGCTTAAAAGACCTGCATAAATTCTATGTTGTTAGGTGGCCTTTATCAGGCCTCATTGATAATAGCTTGTCTACAGACCTCATCGTATGTGGAAAATATAGGTTTCAAAGATTATATACGGGCTTTGATGTTCAATAGCTAGAAATTTGTCTTCAGCAAGATTTTTATGATTGAAAACTTTCCTCTGGTGCTTTAAGGGCAAAAGCATTTTTATAGATCTGCACTGTATATATGAGGGCTATAGACTTCCTATTGGTCTTCTATGGAGAAAAGAGATTTTACAGACCCCTTTTTGGGACTAAAGACCTATATAAATTCAATGGGTTGAAGACCTTCTATTGGTGCCTCCAAGGATAAGTTCTTCTCCACGTCTTGTTCTTCTTCAGGTCTTCCATGGAATGGAGTGATACGAGACCTTCTCATGTTTTTTAAATATTTAACATCCATTGAACCTCCGAGGACAGGCCTTATACGAAGCGGAGTGCTAAATTTGTTTTAGTTATAGAATACCCTCCTGATCGTTAATGTTTAAGTGTTAAATCGAGGGTATAGAACTTCATACAGATCTTCTGAGAAATCCTTCTAAAAAAATGAACAGAACATCTTTACGCAATTCCCATAGGTAGTTAGTTAGGTATCGATATCTCTTCCCTTTCTCTATTGTCTTTCTGAAGTTCCTTTACATGTTTGCCATTGGCAGAAGAGCAGTAGGCCTTCCATTCCACTGATTGAACACTTCCACAGATCTTCAATAATTAAAATATTTTTCTGAAAATATTTTTCTGAACCTCTTCCTCAATAGAATCGAGATTCTTCAATGATTTTTTCACAATCATTGCAGCAGTAGGCCTTCCATTCCACTGATTGAGCACTTCCACAGATCTTCAATAATTAAAATATTTTCCTGAAAATATTTTACTGAACCTCTTCCTCAATAGAATCGAGAGATTCCTCAACAATTTTTTACAATTTCCAAGGATCAGATTATACTCCGCCTCGTTGTTGTACACATAAAATACTCTCCTATATTTGCTTGTGAAACCGGCAAGACAACTTTCTTCTCAAATCCTTTAACAAAACTTACCATCAGCATCGACTTCATTGATCATGTCCTGTAATTCAGCTTCTGTGGGATTTTGGCCAAGTGATCGCATGACTGTGCCCAATTCCTTTGTTGTGATGGTGCCATCACCATCTTTATCGAATAGTGAGAAAGCTTCTTTGAATTCGGCGATTTGTTCTTCTGTTAGTTGATCGGCCTTGAAGGAGGAGAAAAGAAAAAATAAAATTTAATTAGTATCGGGGGATAAAACCACAAGTTATCATCAAATAATCATCATCGAAGCAAACAAGGCAAGATTTACCATATTCACACAATATTGGATTTCAAAATGTACTACCCACAACGAAAAAAGATCCCGGAGACCACAAAAATGTTAAACGAAAAAATGGAGAATGATATCTAATACCGGGGGGCTTACGCGAGTTTGGACAAACAAAAGACGTTTGGTTTCGATGTCGGTTTGCGTTGGCTCTATGGAATTTTTGCGTATGAGAATTTTTGAAAGGGTTATATAGAGAGAGAGCTTGTTTTGTGTATTGTTTTGGTTTTTTTCTGTTTTCTGTTTTGTGTCAAAATTTCGAATTTGAATTGTAAAGCATATGCTAAACGATTCTTCTCTCCGTTTCAATACTTTGTTTAAATAACATTTTAACATGGAACCCACCATCCATCCATCCAATCCAGGGCATCTCATGGCATATACAATTACGAGAGGAATGCAAATTCATGTCGCAAAATAAATGCGCAATCGAATGCCATTCGTCGTTTTCGTCGACAGCGAGACAGACATTCAGTCAGTCAGTCATCTATATCTTCTAGCAAAAATAGGTGTTAAATTTCAAAATAACATCACACATTTTTTTGCCATGGTTGTTGTTATTGCTTTTTTATATTCTAGACGTTTAAGGTAATATCTGGGGTGTTGACGTCAGTGGTATGGCAGTCAGGCAGGCAGTCACTCAGTCAGCTAGTTAGTTAGGCAAACACAGTCATTCAAACCAGTAGATAGATAGATGTGGACAATGATGATGATGATGATGTTGATATTTACATATAAATGGCATGTGTGAAATATACATTGGAAATTTGTTTGCTTAGGGCAAACGTACAGAACAAGAAGGGAGGTAGAAAGTGGAGAAATAACACACACGTCATTGTTCCACACACAGATACACAGCAAACAGTACCAAATACCTCCTCTTCCCAGTGTGATCGTAGAATAAAACCTACGACTTTAATAAAACCCATTCAAGGATGGTTGGGTGGTTGGTTTATTTGTGGTGGCGGTTAAACTGGAGCTATGTATTTGAACAACTGTATAATCAAAGGAAACTATTATCCCGCGCCCAGTAACTCGTTTTTTTTTTCCTCACTCAATTCTATGAAATTTTAAATTGCGTTTCATTTTAAAAACGGAGGTATGATAAATCCTCCAGTGCCAGCAAATTCATGAATAATGAAATTGTCCTTTTTTTCATAAAAAAACGATAAGCCGTTCCTTGAATCTGTCGATATGTATGTATTTTGAACTCATCAATCATATTATTCTACATAACCACTCATCCATAGAATCCAATCGACCATAGCCAAATTGATTTGAGCCTTTGGGAAGGTGTTAATTTTCCTTATCCCCCCAAACAGTGGAAATAATTGTTTAGTTTTTTTTTTGCTCTGGTTTGTTAGTTAACTACAACAAATTGTATTATTGTTATTATTTTCTGCTCTATTCTTTTTATTTGTTAATTATGCAGCAACAGATTCATTATCATCGCTTAGCTAAGTGTCAAAACATAGATAACAAGTGAGCAAATAGTAATTATGACAATGAGTAATAGAATAGGTCATAATTTGGGTGAAACTAAATCCTATATGTGCCAGGGATGGAAAAATTCAATGAACGTTGAAAAAAGAGAAGTGAATACAAAAATCACTGTGAGTACACAAAAATTTTGCAAATTTTTAGGTGCAATTTTTGTAAAATAGTGAAATCGGAAACATTTTTTCTGGCAAAAATTGGGAGCGCATTAATTTAAAATTTCGATAATTGGACTATCAAAAAATCTCGGCAGTATTGGTCCCATATTGGAGAAACTCAAAATGTCTACTTTTATGTGGCGTCCCACATATTTCTTTTATGGAGAGAAGGCCTTCAACAGATTTTTTTATCGTTGGAAAGCTAAAAGAATTCCTCGGCTGTGTTGGCCCCACATTGGAATCTGAAAATGTCTATTTTTATGTGACGTCCCATATTTCTTTTTACGGAGAGAAGGGTTTCTACAGATCTTTTATCGCTTGGAAACCTACAAAAATTCTATGAATTAAAGGCCATCCATTTGTCCTCCAAGGACGGAACCTCTTCTCCACTAAGGGAGATATCGTAAATGGTTATAGAACTTCTGGATGCCGTATGGAAGAAGACCCACAGATTTCTTATGTTAAAAAAAACAAACCTGCATAAAATCTATGGAGTGGAAAGAAGCTTTTATTGAGTCTTCAAGGATAAAAGTTCACCCACAGACCTCAACAGACGTGGAAAATTGAAATCGGAAAGAATTTTTTCTGGGAAAACTTGAGAGTGCATTAATTCAATATTTCGATAAGGGGACTACCAAAAAACCTTCGTCCTAAGTTCATTTTATAGAGAGAAGGGCTTCTACGGAACTTTTATCTTTGGAAACTTACAAGCATCCTTGAATTATAGGCCTTCTATTGGTCCTCCAATGACAGAACCCCTTCTTTACACCTAAGGGAGATATAGTAAATGGTTATAGAACTTCTAGATGCCGTATGGAAGATACTCCAGGAGTCTTGATTTCAAAGACATAGAAGTAAAGATAGGACAAGACAAAGTTAACTGATTTAAACCGCCAAGGCAATATGCAAATTTTTGGAAAGGTCTATGGATAGAATTTTTAAATTACATTTTTTGGTTTTGAAACTTTTATTTGTCTTTGTTGAATGTTATGCTTAAAAGTCCCGCATAATTCCTATGGAGTTTCAAGGCTTTTATTCAACTTCAAAGATAAAAGATCACCCACAGACCTCAACAGACGTGGAAAAGTTAGCTATGGAAGATTCTGGTCTTCAATAGTTAACCTTCTAACTATCTTCAGCCAGTCTTTTATGTATAGAAGATTTCGAAAATGTACTCTTTGGAAATTGGCCTTCAGAAGGTATTTTATTTTTTGAATACCTACATAAATTCAATGATTTGTAGGCCGCCTTCTACTAGGAATTCAAGAACAGAAGCCTCCATGGGGTTAAGAGGCTTTTATTAAGGCTTGAAGGATAAAGTTCATCTGCAGACCTCAGCAATATAGAAAATATAGGTATGGAAGATTCTTGATCATCAATGGTTAGGAAATTGTCTTCTGCCAGTCTTTAATGTATAGAAATTTTCCAAAATGTCCTCTTTGGAAAGCAGGTCTTCTACAGATATTTTATGGTTGGAAGACCCAAAAAATTCAATGATTTGAAGACCTTCTTCTGGGGGCTCCAAGGACCTTCTATGCATAAATGATAGTTATATACTTCCTTTTGGTCTATCTCTATGGTCTCCTGTGAATAGAAGATATTCATTTTATGCAGGTTCTGGAAGAGAGCAGCAAAATCCAAAATGTTCCTTTAATAATTTTTTATTTGAATTCAAATTGAAATCTTCCCAACTACTAGCTTTGTCAGAAATTGATAGGAACGGCCCTAAAGATCATAATAAGCCCCTTGACCTCTTCCAAAAAAAAAAGAATATGTGATTAAAAAACTGCTGCAAACGGATTTAGGTTTCAAAAGTCAAATGAGGAAATGTGCCACAAAAACCTTTAAGACCCCCCAGCCTTATCCTAATAACAGATGAAAATGACAAAGGAAGTGTCATAATTTCTCAGTTTTTGGGTTTATAGCCCCACTCTCAGTTTCATTTCCAAGTTCGAAAGAACCATTGCACCGCTAGCATATTTTGGGCGCCACCCTGGCTCCCCACAAATCTTCTGCAAAAGCAAAACTATTGCCTTCTTCCAACGTCCTCCACGTCATGGAAAATACAAAAATCAGATGCAATTGAAGCGATTGATGCCTCAGCTTAAATACGTCAACAATAAAAACAGGTGCCTCAAAAAAAATGGGAACTTATTGCACCCATCTACAAATATGAGTAATTTATATAAAAGAAATAATGAAAAATCTACCTCTTCACCTTGGTTTCTGGGGAATTCTGAAAATCTTCCCTGTTTAGCACATGTCTTCAACATGAGTTCTTTGGAAGTTTCCATCATAATCTGGTGTTCTTAGAATTTCTTTCGAATTTCAAGTTTTGCCATTCATTGGATGGTAGTTACTAAGAAACTGGCAAAATTCCCTTCCCCATTCGAGAAAAAAAATCAACCTCTCCTGTCTCTTATCCCCTCAAACAATACAACATTGACATCAAGGTCATGTGCAAAAAAAACCACAACGACTCATTAAAGTTTCTAGAATTCGCTCAAGATAATTAAACTTGTGTGGTATCCCTCCTTCTTAAGCAATCACCATGACAGCGGCGACGACTCCATTCATGGTCGATTGCCTACTTCTAAACACACAACACCAGCACAACAAAAAGGAAGCAAACAACAACAACAAAACACCAACCAAATCTGTAAAGGTGGAAAAATCTAAGTTTGAAATTAATTTCACGCTTTTATTATTTAGATTGTGTTTCACATGAAACCCAATGAGCAGCAGCAACAGCGGCATCATCATCAGCGCTGCTGCCACTGCCGCCATCAAAGCATAGCAAAAACATGCCAAAAACAGGCAAACAAACTCAAAAAAGAAAAGCAAGCCAAACAAATAAAACCTCAACAACACAAAAATAAAATTAAAAAACAAATACTCGGAATCAGTCATTCAATCTTTCAATAATCACAGGCATTACCGACAAACATATATATATGTATTCTCAATCTTAGGTCGTCCGCATATGCTGGCTGCATTTGAGAAAAAAATGTGTTATAGAAAACCACCCAAAAGACGGCGGACGGACGGACTACAAAGACGACGAATGAATATCAAAATCATCATCACCAAGGCAGGCAGCAGCCAGCAGCAGAGAATCATGATTCATAAAAATAATGTTAATGAGCAAACAATAGGTGGACCACCACCACCCTTCTACTCTCCCCTAGATACCGCTTTCCCTCAACAAATAAACTATGTGAC